CTTTCTACTCACCGCTTCTTCCCAACCAGCTTGGAGATATGTGACATTATGTCTTGCAGCAGGATTTCATCAGCTGTATCTTACCATGGAAGTCACATATTGCAATGTTTCATATGTAGCGTCTGGTCATATCCCTTCTTGTCACATTCTATTAGGTGTGCTGCCATCATGTGACCCCTGACTGGTGGCATGTGGTCACATTACAGCTCACCATTACATGTGTTGTTTTACTTGTTTCCATTGACATTCCTATCAAACCTTGCACATGCCCTTGAGACTTAAGAAAATGTTGTTGAAGTACACTCTCAATTTATATCAACCATCATTTCAGCAACCCTGGATGCTAAGTGTGAGTGACTGCTGAAAATCAGTTACATTGGAAAGTTTTATTTTCTCCACCATGTTGGTGGTAGAAAAGTTCATAGTTCAAGGTAGAAAAAGTTCATGGAATCATTAAGGTGATAAAAGACCGCTAAGATCATCGAGTCCAACCACCAGCTCATCCCCACCATACCCACACTAAACCATGTCTCTCAGTGCCATATCTCCCCTTTTCTTGAAAACCAGCAGGGACAGTGAGTCCAGATGTCACTGCTCAGAATGTCTTTATGGATGCCTCACTTAAAAGGAGAGGAAAATAGCAGTGATGAACATCTCTCTCTGGAAGAACTCAGTTTTATTTTTCTCAACATGCCCTTGGATCTGTGCATGCTCATGTGGACCCATGGAGTGACAGCAGTGCAAATCAGATGGGGAAAGGGAGTCCAATATTTCACAGAATTCTTTCCAGTTCTGCTCTACGTGTGGTTCCCATGATGAACATTCACCTTACTGACTTGGCTTGAACATCCTTTTGTGACATGCTCTGCAACACATGGCACTTTTCTGATGGTGTAAAGGAGTAAAACATATACCCTGCAGAGCTGCGTGTTTCCATTAACGCCCTTGTTTGGAAGAAGTAGCAAAAATGTTGCACACTGATAGTTCTCATGAGTTGAATTGACTGTTTCTTTGCTTTTCTCTTGTTATGCAGTGTTTGTAAATTGTTTTGGGAGGGCATTAAAACACACCAGTGGCATTTGCAAATAGCAGCAAACGCTACGTTCTTACTAGTTATTCCAAACATGCAGGCAAGATTTTTCAGTAATCTTTCTAGTTTTCAGATTTTTTTTTACTTTAAGTGGTCCCTTGCTCTAAATCAGAAGCATTAATTTCTAGGTAACAGGCACAAATGTCCTTCAAACCTCCAGTAAGTGGTCTCATTAAGTACTTGAGTAAAATGAAGGGTATTGCGTCAGAAAAAATGGCTGAGAATAAAGAGCTGTACTGTCTCTTGGGTGGAGGGAAACTGCCTATGTTTCATGCCAATGAAGACAAAGAAGTTGCTACAATGCATAAGAGAAGTGCCAGATGCTTCCCCAAAAGCTTCCTCAAAAGAAGGGGCTTTCACTCTTCCAGAGGCCTAGTAATAAAAGAACTGTTTTTCTTGTTTAAAGCCATGGTTACCTTGGTAAATAAAGCCTCCATTCTGGAGTCCCCTCATAATGATCATTTTAGGGTTAGATATTTACCTTAGTGTACCTGACAACTAGTTTGTAGACTGACTTACTTTGTATGAGTCAAATATGTGGCAGGATCTCTCTGCTGAACTTAATTCAGGGTCTACCATTAATACATTAGTATTTTTGAATCCAATTAGCCAAAGCACAGATCAATTTGAAAAATATACATTTTTGAGTTTTTCTTCTTTGTTTTACAAGATTCTATGTCTTTGGATGTGTCAAGCAATACAATTCAGAAATGATCTGTACTGGACACGTGCATCACTGTCAAGCTAAGTAAAAGTCACTACAGCAGAATGTGGAAATGCTGTGTTGGTATTTGAAATGTTTGCATGCACCTACACACACATCCTTTACAGAATTGAGTGAATAGGAGTAAGTTGGAACATGTATGGGAATGGGCAGGTGCTCACAATTCTGCTCATGCAAAGAATGAAAGAGGAAAGTAGAGGAGAGGAAAAGTCAGATTTTGCAAGTATGACATAAAAGTTGTCCTGCATCATGTATCAATTTTCAACAGAAATGTGAACTCTACATTCAGTCTAAGCTGTTTAAGAGAAGGTGTCTGATAATTTCGGGTTTTAATGGTGAGGATTTAAAAAATAACAGCAATAGTTGCATTGGAATTAAACACCAAGCACTAGAAGGGACTGATTTTCTGAGCTGTGACCAACAGGAACAAGCCAGGATGTGATTTCTGATTCATGATTAACAGCTCTTCTGACTTTGGTGCTGCGGTAACATGGAGTTCATCTCCTCTTTCTGTGGCATTCACAAACGTGTTTGGTGGTAATTTATTTCAGGTGCTGTCAGTTATAACTTATAACATGGGAGGTTTTTGCATCAGTTTCCTATTGTAAATTGTTCCTGAAAGATCTTCCTAATCTTATTAATATTGGCTGATTCTTTGTATTAGGATTTTCCAGGGATTGGTGGAGTCTAAAGGATTAAAGGCCTCTGAGTCAAGGATGACCTAGATTCTGATCTAGCTTTTATTATGCAAATCCTTACAATCTGAGGTCATTTATGGGAACATCTGAAGTTAATATGAGTTCTTATATTCAAGCACTCTGTAACATTCATAAGTGTTTCAGTTCCAGGTGAGTACAGTGCAGTTATTAAGTGTTCCAAAACTGCTTTGAGGCAGAAGCATACTCAAAATGTGACGTAGGATCTTCAAAGTCCAAATCCTTTTGGCTGGTGCTGGAGGTGCTGGAGATGCTTTCAAAAAAGGGTTTTCCTCTGAAGTCCTAGTGGGGGGCTGAGAAAGTTCTTCCCTGATGCTTCCAATGTGGTTATTTCAAGAGATCTGCACATTCCCCAAAGTGGAACAAGTTCTTGATTTCCCTTGCAGTTGTGTAGTAGAAATTCCTTGAGCTTTATTTTGTTATCTTAAGTGGAACAAAAAAAAAAAAAAAAAAAAAAAAAAAAAAAAAAAAAAAAAAAAAAAGATGAAGAGCAGCAAGAAATGAAAAAAAAATGAGTGGCTTTTTGAAGCAGAATGATTTATATACATGGCCATTTTTCACTTCTGTATGTACAGAGTGCTCTATTACTTGAAGATCTGATAAGCAGAGAAAATTAATATTCCCCCAAACCTGCTCCTTGCCTGTTATAGTCCAGCTGTCCATGCTGTTTGAGTGGAAGCAGGGATCAACTTGAAGCTGGGATGATTCTGAATGTGACTCAGAGATAAAGGCTTTAATACATTTTTCTTTCTGGTGGCTTCCCAGAGCTCAGCACCTGGAACTCACAAATGGAAAAGCTCTCCTTTTGGTTCTTTCAGTGTGCTTTCACTCTTTCACCTATTACACAAGCCTGACTACCTAACTGTATTTGCTTCTTGTATTAATATTTGCCTTTTTATATCATGCCTTTCCTCTGAGAAAGTGAAAATATGTAAATAAACTGAGCAAAGACATTCCATTTTAGGCCAGCAGTAGTGTAGCAATTATGATTATACGACTATAAACAGAAGGGTTCACCCAGAATACTCAAAGCTGATAAGGTAATTGAAAAGCTTTCAAATTAATTGAGTGTTTTTAAACATATTTTTGGAAGTGGTATGAGTCTGTCCAGCATGGAGTTGTGAGCAGAGGTGGGACAGAGCGTGGGGAACCAGACTCACTATTTTCTGATACCACCAGCAGTGCTGGAACAGGTTCTGATGCTGATTATTTTGCTTTAGACTGGGGTGATAGCCTTAGGCTTGGCCCTTGTTGGGAGAAGCCTGCGCAGCTGGGGCTCAGAGCATCTCTCTCCTCCTCCCATTTTATGTGGACGTTCAGAATTCTCTGTCTCAGAAGAAATCCCGTAGGATGGGGATCCAGTGCATCTCGTTCTGAACAGAGACATTTTTACCAGCTCCTTTGCCACCCCCACACAACGTCTGGCATTTGCTCATGTGTACCTCTCACTCCCTCGGAGGCAAATTGCTTTGCTGCTCCTCAGCTCGGCAGCACCACATCCCTTGACATTTCCCAGGGCAGTGATGCTGGGTCCTGCTCCCGTGCTTCCCAGCTACCATGCAGAATGTACCAGCAGAATGTGGGTTAATGGGGCAGGCATGGCACAGAAAATAGTCACTCTGGTGGAGTCATTAGGATTTGCTGGCAGATTGCCTGCTCAGTTGGTGCAATTTTACACTCATTTTCAGAGCAGGCTTAAAGGGGAAACCTCCACTCGCTTTGAGGCTTCACAGCCAACAGGAGGCTGGGGCTTGCCTGCCTCTGCCCCCATTTCTGATGAACAACTGGCTGGAAATTCTCAGCTAAGCGCTTACTCAAATGATTTTTTGTTGTTGTTTTGAAATTGCTAGTGAAGGCTGTTTAGAATGAACGGACCTGTGGGTGAAATTGCTGTCTCCTATGCCTTGGCTTTCCAAAACTCAAAGAGCAGAGTCTGAACTACATTTGGAGGGGAAGGGAAGAGAAAACAAAATAAAACAGAATACATATCCTTGTGCCTGGGAAGGCGTAGCTGAGCAAGTATAGTTATACTTCAGTCAGTACCATGCAGACATAACAAATGTTTTAGGTCTTGGTCCTGCAACAGGCTTCAACTGAATGTGAAATTAATAGGAGCTGGTGGCACACAGCTCCTGAAAGGGTTAGGCTATCACAGCTGTAGGATGCTGTAATTTATTACTTGTGGAAAGAGTTAATAAGAAGAATAGCATTAGATTAGTTGTCACACACAGGACTGAGTCATATATTCATTTTTTGGGGGAAAAAAAACCACACCCTGATATTATATTTAATTTACTTCATTGCTTAAAATGCGTTTGCACCAAATAGAATCTATTAATCTTTTTATCTTAGAAAACTTCTGATCGGTTTCCTTGTGAAATATGCAGCCCTAGTTAATGCTTTCTGATCTGGAATTAGAGGGTTAAATCTCAATCCTCTCTGATTTATATTTCCCTCCCCTTCTTCCCAGCTGTGGACATGGATGGAAGATCTGCAGAAGGAGCTCTTAGAGGATGTCTGTGCTGACTCTGTGGATGCGGTTCAGGAGCTTATCAAGCAGTTTCAGCAGCAGCAAACAGCCACCTTGGACGCTACCCTCAATGTTATTAAGGAAGGGGAAGATCTAATCCAACAGCTCAGGTAAGCACCCACCTGGAGGACAGGTGGTGAGAAATCTGCCATATGCTGCGGTTTAGATGTGCATAAATGTAGGTTTAGGATTAATAGGGAGAGTTTATTCATTCCTTGCTTATTTATTATTCTTCAATTTTTTTGAGTAATGTATTGAAATTGCACTGAGTGATTTGTGTGGACTGATTAGAGTAGTCTGTGCATCAGCGTGGGCTGCTGCTTGACAGGGAGATTATTTATAGGCACAGCAAAGTGAATTGAAACAAATGCGTTTCAGGTGAATGTTTTTAGTGGATATTTATGGAAGATTGTTAAATGGCTATGAGCTAGGGCCTTGTGATTTATGTGGTTAGTTCTAGTATAAGAGAAGTGTATTCCTCTAAATAAAACATGTGCATGTCTAACAGTATTCACTCTCTCATTTGGCATGCAGCACCCTTCTATTTATCTTTGTCCATGTGGGGTTTGTTCATACTGTCAGGGAGGGTCCTTCCTGCCAGCTCTGCTTGCATTATGAATTAAAGCAGCTTGTTTACCTGATTTGAAATACACAAAGTGACTGATTCAGGAAAGTTGGAGCTTTTTGCTTTCTCAGTCTGTATCTGTAGTAGAACTCATGTTTTCAGGGAGCATAGGAAGCCTATCCCAACTTGTGTTTCTGTAGGCTCTCTCACTTGTTCTCATTCATAGTGATTTTCTATGGCTCTAAGTTCATAGCAGCAGTGGAGTTTTCCTGCCTCATTGACATTTCAAGCCCCAAACCATGAAATCTTTTGTTCTTAAGATCTTTATATTGTCACAGATTGCCCTCATCTACCTCTACATAATGTCTATACTCTGTGTACATACAGAACATATATCCTGCACCAAATGCAATGATTCTTATGCATTTGACTCATGGCTGTCAATCTCATGTCTCAGCTTCCCCAGACTGACGCCTTTGGATCTAACACAAGAAATGCAGAGCCATGACAGGAAAAGCCAGAGGTGCCTGGGTAATGAAATGAGCTGGTGGAGCTCCACCCTTAGGAGCCCTGCAGGAGCTCTTCTACTACAACCATGGGCTGAGCTTTCCTCCATATTCTCCACAAGGAGAAGCAGACTGTGTAAATGCCTCATCTTGCTGAATGTCACAGAGCAGAACGAGAAAAAAGAGTTGTTTTGCTTCCTGAGACCAGGGTTGGAAAGCAAGGATCAGGGGAAGAATGAGATGCAAAGATCCATGCATCTTTGCTGATGAAATAGTAGAAAGGAAATATGCTGTACTTAATATGCTGCCAGATGGAGGGGGCTAAAGAGAACATACATATGGCTGCCCATACCAGGTTAACCAAAGATATGCATGACTTTCTTGCAAAGTTTAAGGCACCTCTAAGAGATAATAGCAATGGTGGTGAAATGTTGAACGAAAATATTCTCTTGTTGCTTCTCCCACCTATTGGTATAACATTCCAGCATGAACATATGTGGAGAAGACCATGAAAAGGAACCTATGTAAAGCCCATCAGGTGGAGTTTTGAGATTGCAGAAAGTGCCTGTATTGAAGGAGTTCTGGTCTTGCCTGTCAGATTGGCCTAAAGGTTTTTGCCAGCACCTGAGTCAAAGGGAAAGCAGAATGTGGAGTTCTGCAGTGATCTGGGTGATGTTTGGGGCTGGAAAGTCAGCAGAGCATCAGTATGAACAGCATTTGTTGGAGAAAGGCTGCTGTAGTGGCTGCAAGGTCATGCATGATGCTCTGCTGACTTTCCAGGGTGAATAGGGTACGTCTGAGATCACCTATTTCAGTATTAAAGTTTTTAGCTTCAGTCATTGAAAAGCAAGAATGGTCTGAGTTTTGAGACTGTTTTGGAACTGGTATCATGCTTAAATATTGTGAAATGCCAACACAGGTTTTGAGACTCAAGTATTTAGCCAAGAAATGATGTTGTTGGGACCTGGCTTGTACTCTGAGCAGTGAGCAAGGTGAAGCAGGAAAAACATCTTTGTCCAGAGTGCTTCTCTGCTTCTGATCGAGTTAAGACCAAAAACAGAGGGAAACACACAACTGCTGTCAGAAATCAGGAAGCCCTGCATGCATACAGTGATTTGCAGAGCTGTCTAGTCAAGGTGGTCTCTAATCCAAGCATCTAACAGTGGGGCCTCCAATGTGACCCCTACATGGACTACATGAGAAAACATGAAACCACCTATGCATGTGCCCTCTCAGTTTTTGTGGCTGCTGGCAAAAGTAAAGAACGCACAGATAAAAGAAAGGAGAAAAAATGGGAATTGCTGCAGTCTTCCCTTAACACAGCATTGCATTTCAGTGTCATCCAGTACCTGCTGTGAAGAGCTGTTGGAGATTGCAAACACTACAACAATGAAGAAAATGAAATACAGCACTCGTATCACTGTAGATAATGTGAAACCACTTTTCTCACTCTTTATTATTGTTCTGAGATGAGCACCATTCTCAGAAGTCAACACAAAAAGATCTTCTGAACTGCATTTCCAGAAGTGCTGCTGAGGCCAATAGTTCTGCACATCTGCAAAAGTCAGGACAGTGACTTGCCACAGTGAGATGTGAATGAACAGGAACTTTAGGGGTAACAATAAGGCAGGGAAGAGTTATGGATCTTGTTTTTCTTATGGTAGCTCAGCATATGGGGTTTTGATAATGGGAACATTTCACTGTGCTTTCTCCCAGATAAAGTGCTCAAAGTGATTTCAGGAGCACAGTGTTCCTTCTGAACAAATTTAACAGCAATGAACAAACCCTGCGTGCATGTTGCCCAAAGTTTATTTTGTATTTTTTTGAACCCTAATTTATATCCTTTCGAAGAATACTGAGTATCTTTCATAAATTCTTTCCCAGGATTTCTTATTACCAGTCAGAACAATAAATCTTGTGATGGAGGCATCCAATCTCAGAAATTTATTTTTCCAGAAGGCAGTCTTTCTCAAACAGGACTATATAGGGATCTCAAGACCTTATCTGAGGAGATTATGGAAAAATACCAGATTATTACATCTCATTTTTTTGTATTGCATCAGCCACTGAAATGCACATGTGGTTTGGTTTGAAAAGTAAAATACTTGAGGAAAAAGAATTTGTAAAACCAAGTGTGTGTTTAGATCCCATGTGAGATCTAATATCTGCCATCCTTGAATAATTCATTGAGTCATTTAGGTATTATATGAATAGTAATAATTCTGCATTTGAATGAAGGCTTACTTCTTGTCCTTTTATAGAAGACAGGTGCTGACTGGAGATTGAATGTGGCCTTGCATTAAACTGCAGTTTTAAAATCTCTCCTTGTTATCTTCATCCATCCCTTCTGTGTACAGCTCAAAGGTGGAGGCAGACTGTGGTCACCAAGGAGGTGAAAACACAAGACTGACAGAGAGGGGCAGAGACTGCAAGATCTGAGGAGAGTAACACTGGTGTAATATTCCCTTATAGGCAAGAGGAGTTGCAACTTCATGCTTCAGAATAATATTGGAGCATCTGATCTTCATTGTGTCAAGTAGAAAGCATTTGAAGAAGAAGAGCAGAAGCACATAGAAAGAGCAAATAACTAATTAGTTATTAGCATTCTGCATTTTTAATTGTATTCTTAGGCTTCAGATGTTCAGGCAAAAGCTTGTTCATTTTCTCAATTACTCTTGCTGACAATGTTCAATTAAGTTTAAGTTGATTGCATGTTGTTTTGATCTGACACTACATGATGGTAATGTGCTAAGAGCAAAGCACAGTCATTTTGTGCGATTTCTGGAGACAATTACTCATTTTGCTAGGTGTTTATAGAAGGAAAATGCAACCCAGAAAGGGGAAATAGAAACTTAAAAAATTAGGAACACTAACGCTGTTTGACAATGGGCAGACTTCATGGGTACTTTCACTTTGCAGCCCCAGCTGCATTTGGGCTCCATTGGACAACATGGTGACCTGGCAGTATCACCTGATCTTTGGTTTGGCCTCCAATATTGTTCCCTGTACAGTTTTATATACAATATGTGCTAGTGGATTTGCCCCAGATTCACCACTGTGGCAGAAATATAGACTGATGATAAGTGGTGATGGTAAGGCCTGCTGGCTTATCCTATTACACTGTTGGAAAGACCTGTGCACTGGTAGAGTATCTTATGGGGCTTTCAGGTGGTTTGGTTTGAATATGCAGGTGCCATCACATGACTTTGAGCAGGTTGAACAGAGAAATTCATTGCATCTCAATCTTGGGTTTGCTGAACTATCAAAGCCAAGTCTGGCTTCAAACTTTACTTTCTGGTACTTGTTAATGTTGGGGGACCTTCAGTGGTATATTCAAGGATACATATCAGGTACAGCGAACTGCCCCTTGGTACCCAGCCCACCAGTTAAAGGGCTTGCTCCCTCCTCTTCCCTATTTATGGGGAATGTACTGGGAGCACTGTCTGACCTCTCACAGGCATGCTCATTTTCCTTACCTTAGTGGAAATACAGCTGAAGGACACCATTGTACCACGGAGTTTTTGCAGAGCAAAATTTCTATTGCAACACAAAGTAACCCAGAGGAAATCAAGGTATCTCTATCTCCTTAGTCTAAGATGCTGGTAATTCTGATTCTATTAGCCTAACTGAAGCAAATGCACAGAATTAACACTTAAGGGCCCAGGGGGCTCAAGAACAGCTCAGCTTGGTGCCTCTGGGCAGAGTGAGTGTAGGCTGGAGCAGGTCACTCTCTCTGGGACTGAATGGGATTGCCAGCCAGGCTCCTTAAGAGAGCTGTTGAGGTGGATGTGCCATTCTCCCCCCTCTCTGCCCCTCCAACCCCTCAGAAGTGTGTCAGGTCACAGCATCCCAACACAAGAAAGGACAATCCCCTTGTTCAAGCTATTTGCAGAGCTCAGGAGCCACACAATTTCAAGAGTAGAAGAGAGGAGTGTTGCATACACCTTCCCTTGCCTCAGCCCTTTGTCCTGGGCTCACTTCTCAGTGGCATACAGATCACAAGAGTATACTTCTTGCTCTTTTGCCTGCCTTGAAGCACAGCTTTAACCATGCTCTCTGCCTTGCCACAGGGACTCCGCCGTTTCCAACAATAAGACCCCACACAATAGCTCCATCAGCCACATCGAATCTGTACTTCAGCAGTTGGATGAGGCCCAGGTACAGATGGAAGAGCTCTTCCATGAGAGGAAGATTAAGCTAGATATCTTTCTTCAGCTCCGGATTTTTGAGCAGTACACCATTGAGGTAAGAGCTGGCTGCAAGACCTGGGAAAAGGAGAGCAAGGGAAAGGGGATCTGTGTAAACCTCTGCTGGTAGGATACCACCAGAAGTGGTCAGCATTTAGGGGGTGTGTTCCTCCTACCTACACCACTGCTCTCTTTTTAGGTCTTGGAGCACTTTAAATGTTTTATGATGAGATATTCTTGAAGGAAATCTTGCAGATCTGTAGGCAGTCACGTGGTGGATACTGATAATTAATGGGAGCCTTCATATGCTGTGTTACACTTTGTAAGTGTTCATTTTAAGATATGGCATGATGAATTACAGTGGAATAAAGGGCTGGGAAGAGGGAATTTTAGGTGTTTTGATCTATAATTGGATGCGAGAGATATAAATCAGGGAGTAGCTGAACTTTCCTCTTGTGAGTGCTAAGTTAGATGAAAGCTGTTGTACAGTACTTGTTATTAATGTAAATTAGAATAGCTTAATCAATCAACACTGTTTTACTCAATAGTTGTATAAAGACTTCCTGATAGTAGGAAAGAGACTGTATACACGCATACTCACAAGGGAGACTGTATCCCTTGTGAGTATGTGTGTATATCTATAAATGTGTGCATTTCAGATCAGCTAATATTGCTGTGTGTGCATTTGTTGCCCTAAGACTGCTACACTCACAGCTCAAGAGCTGCAATATTTAGTATCACCTGTATTTAAATGGTAATACATTGATACAATAGTCTGGCAAATGGCGAATGATTAAGATTTTGATTCTAAAGATACGAATTATATGTGAATGCATACGTGTATATGGCTATAAACAGCACCTATGTTTTCAAAAATGGAGCAAAACATGAAAAATGGTGCTTCTGGACACCCAGAAATATAAGGCATGTATGGAGAACCTGTGTGAATCATGAGTCACTCGTAAGATACCAGTCTGTCTGTGTTTCACTGCAAATTCCAGGTGTGCAACAAGAATTATGCTGACTTTATGTAAAGATTTTTTAAAGACAGAATCACTGTTTTCAATTCCTTTTCCTTTGTACATTGGTCTTTCAACCAATGATTGCTAAGACCTTTGCCATCATGGATCCCTTTACTGATGGGGCAGCTGAAGACAAGGGACATGGGTAGTGGGCATGGTGGGGGTGGGTGGATGGTTGGACAAGATGATCTTAGGGGTTTTTTCCAACCACAATGATTTTATGATTGTATGATCAGCTGATGTGGTTGTTCCTAACTGACTCTGCATCTCACATCAGAGATAGAAATGCAGTGTGGATCCCTCTGTTTTGTTTTGAATTAATTTGGAGTGTCAATGCTATGTGGTGGTATATAATGGTATATAAATGGTAGATAAAGATATTTAAAACTGGAAACACACTTCGAAATCTTCTCAAATCAGGTTGGTTAGAAAAGACTTAAAGAAGACCATCACTTAGTTGTCATTGTAGATCTGCTATTTTTTTATCAACAGGACATCTGAATTCCCTCTGCAGGATTAATATTACAAGGAAATCTGAGAACATGTTTCATAGGGAGTTTACAGGCAGATGATTTTTGTTAGAAAGCTCTCTCTTCTAAGTGGGGAAATATTTTTATTTTAAAGCAATTTTTAAATTTATAACTGAACATGGAGAGAAAAATATCATGTCAGTATCTTAAATTTTATGAGTACATTTATTGCTCAAACAACAAAAGCAGTTTAGTAGATAATAAAAAACATAATTTGAAATAATATATTAAATGATGCATTTATGCTGTGCATTTCAAATAGCTGAATTGGCTCAAGTTGACTCAATACCAATCCATAGAAAGTGGATTGCTGTCAGTTACCTCAGCCATATAATAAAGATTCCAAGTCAATGAGAAACTTATCAACATTAAGAAAATTACCTCATGCTTTGCTAAGAAGCAAAAAGTTGTTTTCATCCCCATAATTAAAAAGCAGATAGTGTTTCTGGTGGTTGAGTATTCTGAGCTTGTAAGAGAAAAAGATGATGAAATTTAAATCAGGAAATTAAATACCTTTTCTACTAAAGGCAAGTAGCTTGAGCTGTGACTGGAAATGTATTTAGGTTTTAATTTTCTATAATAGCCTAGATCCGGCATAGATTAAGAACAGTGAAATAATGTGTAGCAGTATGATTCTCAAATGAGTTTCTCCTTTCCTAGTCTAGCTAAGCCCCCTTCCATCTGTCCAGAGTGCGGTGGGTGCCACATTGAACATATCCCTAACAAAGTCTCTCTTACCTGATGCAAGTGTGCTAATCTCTCTCCTTCCTGTGCTCCACAAACCATCTGCAAAAAGTGGGCCCAAAGCACAGTGCTGTTGTAGTGAAGGCTCTTCTCAGCATGCTTAGCTATCAGAGGGTTTTAGTTATCAGCATCCCTTTTTAAGAAGAGTGGCTGAGGAGGTTCAATTTTTGACCCAGGATCTTCCAGCCTGTCTATGTTGCGTAGTGTTTTGCTTACGTGGGTTGTGCTTTCAAAACAAAGTTCTTGTTTGATTTGGGTTTTGAAATGGAAACTTCACTGGGTTTCTGAAAATTAGTCAGCAGATCTTGGTCTGATAGCAAACCAGAAGCAGGTGATTCTGGAACAGCTGCTTTGCTTTCTTCTCTCCTTCTCCCAAATCTGAATGCTTTTGTTCTCTGTGCTGCTTCTGTCTGTTAATCAAAGTGTTTTCTATTTCCCCTCTGCTCTTGTGTTCTCACCCGTTCTTAGTTTCTTGAGCTCTTGGGAAGCCCTCCTGATGAGACGCTCCTGATGAGGAACCCTGGTGAGAGCAAAATCTTGCTTCTCTCTGATGGAAGCCAGAGGGGTGCAACTGGGAGTCCATCTCCTTCTAGCAGGCTAAGGGAAGACTACAAGTTAAAGTTCAGTCTCAGAATATTTGCATCCAATATTGTCTCTTTTCATCCAGTTTTTGTATCAAATGTTTTCTTGCATTCATTTTCCGTACTAACCTCTCTCTTTCTTTTTAATTGATAATGCAAACTTAGGGAAACTTTCAAAGTCACAAATGGCAACGGAGTGCTTGGCCTTTATATTTTTCATTTAAACTGTGTCTGAATGCCATTTGTTCTTTGGAGACTTTCCTGCTCATAATGATCTCCCCAGATATTGAAGTCCATGCCATGGACCACATAACCCTTTCCTTTGGCACCCCTTCCTAGACTTGCACCATACCAATCTGCTTTGTAGCTGCCTTGGGTTATGAGCCTTTCCATAATCTTTTCTTCCTGACAGAGGTTTGGATTCCAGACAAACTGCAGGATTAAAGGTACTTCATCAGCAGCATGCACTTCCATCTACTTAAGTATCATCGGCTTTCTCTGTACTTCAGTGAAATCTGCCAACAATTGTTTCATTTTGTCTTCAGGAAAAGCATTTTATGTAAAGAGAAGCCACCTGCCTTTCATAGAGAAGACCAGCTGTGTTCAGTTAGGACTTCTAAGGACTTCTGAGTTGCCCAGGCAGCTTTTGTGTTTTCCTTGAGTCAAGGCGGGTTTGGCAGATATGAATTTGGATATGAACCCAGAGACACATAGCATGTGCTGCCTTTTCATTGTTGCCTTAATCTCATTATATTGACTGATATTTACACTCTAGGTTCTTGGGTTAAAGTAGGAAATCCTAACTGTGACAACACCTGGAAACCAGCATAACAGAAATATGAGAGGGCTCTGCTATCCCTATGGGAGGTTATTCTGCCTTAGGTTTTAAAACCATAAAGTGACAACCTATTCTTTATTTAGGAAACGTATCTAACTTTGATGCCTGATATGTTTTATTCCTTTACCAAGTCATTGCACATTTCAAGACAAGACGGGATCATTAAGATTATATGATTGAACTTTCTGTGTGATGTATACCACAGCTGAGTTCGTGCAGCCAACCAAGTAACTCAGGAGATTTCATGCAGTGTGAATGTGGTAGCTGATCCATTGCGAGGAAGTAGGGTGTAAGACCCGAGGGACAATAGCTGGCAGGCTTCAGCAGTACTGCTGGCACCGCACTGAGCACATCATGTATATGGAGCACAGTAATATCCCAGAAATATAGCCTCACTAAAATCTGTAAAGTATTCTTTGTCCCATGCTTCAAAAAATAGTCGTTTGAAGGCTTATTAACCATAACTTGAATGAATGCTAATCATTAGGGAAGTGCTGGATAGCTGCAAAAGAAGTGAATGGTAAAATGCACTGAATTGCAACCCCTAACACAATAAATGCCATCCGGAGCATAGACCACAGCTTTCAGCATATGTTTTCTTTATATCTTTTGTACAGAGATGATCAACTTCACCTATAGGCCACTGTAAAACTCAAACTGAGAACAGGAATGATCTCAGCACGTACCTGTCTGGCCACAATTGTTGATTACCTCCAAGGAAAGTTCTCTCCTTCCTCCCAAGAGCTGCCCAGCTCCTTCCTTTTGCATGTTCCATTTTCTATAATGGATCTGTGTAGTGCGAGGCAGAGCCAATCTCCTGTAGTGGTATAGCAGTGTACTTTCTGGGCCAAACATAGTCCTGGAGGGGTTCTGGGGGTTCCTGCTATACAATATAAATTCGATCTGATATGCTTTTAATCTTTCAAAAAGCAGTACGATCACTAGAATCTTCACCTGTTGGTTAACTAATTTTCCACCATCCTATCTCTTTGGCTCCATTTCACCTGCTGATTACATTTTTCAGCCTTGAGTTCACTTGCTGCCTCTTCTGGCTTTTCACGTCCATCCCTGAGCGTGAGTTTAGAAGGGAGTAGGAGCCAGCTTACAGACAGTAGTTTGATTCGCTGATATTTACAACTCACTTGAGCCTTCCATTCCAGATTTATAACATTAGCAGAATCTTTCAAGTGAATTAGCTGCCTGGTTGGAGGTACAAGATGCTTTATAGCCTCACACTGACTTATAGCTGGCACTCAGAAGTGAACTTCTTTATTAGAAATAAGAGCTGCAGAGATCTTGAGATACACTTGTAAGAAAAGGAATGGTAAGAAAAATTTTCAGAT